ACACACACACACACACACACACACACACACATACACATACACACGCACACATAGCTTCATAAGAGTTCAGTTTCAAAATCCGTTACAAAATTAAATTAAAAAAAGAGCTCAAAGAACAAGGAATTCAGGCCCCTTCTCAAAGCATACATTCATCTTAGAGTACACACTCAAACACACAGAGATAAGTGCACACACACTCACACACATGCACGCACACACAGATCAGAGGCATTCAGTAAACGTTAAGTGATGAGCTGAGGGGTGGACTGCTTCGTCCAGGGAAGCTGTGTGCAGAACCTCAACTCCACCGGCCCAGTCCTGGGTTCAGACGCGGGAGTCCGGCACTCTTCACGGTTAAAATCGGTTTTCTCTTTTTAAAAAAACAAAACAAATGTAAAACAAAGARCCACGGTYTTTGCTCCGAGGAGGCTCAAAGACTCTCCTCCCTCTGATCTCCGGCAGAGGTAGTACCKTCCCATTCTTCGCCCTCCTCCTTTCGCGAGTCCCCACGTGGGAATTATGTTTGTCCTATGGCCCCAAACTGAAGAAACGTGCCCCCCCTCACCGTCCGTCCCACCGCTCGCCCCGGGCCGCTGCGTGTGTGAGAGAGGGCGTGGGTCCGTGAGCGTGTGGGGTGTGGTCAGAAGACCTCCGGTAGTGTGACGTTGCGGAGCAGCCACTGTTGGGAGCGTGTGTGTGTGCAGTCTCTGACACTGGGCACCTGGCTGTCCTCCTCGCTGGCCTTGTCCAGGCACTGGTTACTGTTCACGTGGACCAGGGTCAGCTTCTGCACAACACAACAACAACACAACAAAACAACAACTAGATTTCTTTAGAGTTTCAGTAAATACGCCGTTACTGAGGTGATTCATGTCGGGACATTACGTCTCCACTCACCACAGGATCGTATTCCCACAGCTGGTTGCCTTTGAGGTGATGACACTTGAGCATCATGACAGGTCCGTTCAGCTTGGAGATGTCGAGACACAAGTCATCTGTTCGGATCTCCTTGTTGGCCGTGTACGAGAAAACCTGCACAAACACACAGCAGCTTTTTAAACAACTCATATGAGTTTTATTTACAAGTTCAGAAAACACTTTTACTTGACTTACTGCAACAACAAATCGACAAAAATCGATTATTAAAAGCGTTGACAACAAATTTCAATATCGATTCGTTGTGTCGCAAAATTTATATGTAATTTATGTGTTTATTTACTAGGGGTGCAACAATACAGAAAATTCACGATTCGGTTCAATACTTCAGTCTCACGGTTCGATAAATTTTTCGATACAAAATAGAGAAATGTCCATGCCCCTTTAAACTTGTAATTTATTTAAATTAATTATGAGCATTTGTTTAACYTCAAAAGTACAGTTTTTAAATTAAATGTTGCTGAAACAGCAAGTTTCTCAGTGGATCTGAGCTCAAAAATGCAGCCTAGGTGGAGTAGTCGAACACAGATCCACTGATCCTTCAACACAGAGCATCTTCAGAAGACAAGTTGATAAAATATTTTAAAAATCTGTATTGTTCCATACAAGTGTGTATTGAACCTAAAGCACTGTTTGATATGGTTCAATACGGGTACATGTATTCTTGCAGCCCTTTTATTTACATWTAAATTAGGCGGGGCACCTAATGCACCATTTGTTTCCTCCTCTCGGGCCAAAAATATAAAAACCGTCCAGTTTTTTCTAATTGAAGCTCAAAGTTATTTGTTAAAAAGCAAAAACGTTCTGGAAGGAAAAGAAAAAAAGACACGAGCAGCAGGTCTGCCTCAGTAGGGGAAGGGGGAGGGGCTGCTTCAGAACCGTTTACTGGGTCACAGAACACTGTTTCAGTCAGACAGAACCAACAAGAATGAAGCAAAAAGTAAAGAATCAGAGAAAAATTATAAATGCTAAATGTAAATAAATTCTAATTATATTAAATTAATAATAGTTTTACATCTAAAAATCACATTTTAATCTATTTTCCTCATTCAGCAACTGATTACACATCTGTTATGTTTTATGGATGAGAAATACACTTTTTTTTCAGGCAGTATTTAATACAGCAGCCAAAATGTGCTTCTGTTTTTTTAACTCAGCAGATTATAAAAAAAAATCCTTCATGTTATAAAAAGACCCTCTTGATTCAAGAGAAAACTCTGGTTTTTAAGAAAATGGCTGCGTATCAATTAATAAATCAACCAGATTAATTCATTAATCGATAACTTGCATCCCTAACTTGTACAGAAATGAAATAAATTTATGTCTACTCATATTTATGTAATTAAGTATTTTAATGATTTGGCCAATTAATCGATTAATCAAAAAAAATCGACAGATTAATCGATTATTAAAATAATCGTTAGCTGCAGCCCTTCAAGCAACAAGGGGATGTTTCTTACAGAGTATTTTTAGTCCTCAAATATTTGACAAAACATTATAAAATCCAAACATACACTTAGATAAACATGAACATGTTCGTCAGTAACGTACATTTTATTTGTCATTTTTTTTACAGCTCGTTTCGTCTTACTGGAAATATAACTTTCAAGCCCCATGTTTGACAGACAGTAAATAGTGAGAGCAGGTGCTGTAATTACCTTACAGCTTAATAAACTGAGCAAACTGTGGCTGGGGAAAGTTGGTCAATATTTGTCTTTACTTTGTGCGCAGTTATTGTTTGTTATCTGTATTAGCACAGAAGGGTTCACCGTGATGTTTCAGATGTTTTATAGCATGAAAATTATTTATAGATCTAATTAAATCCTTCTTTTTCACATGTAAATCATTCTCTTCTATATAAAGTGGAACTGTAATGCTTTGGTCTGAACTCCACAAGTCCCTCTTTCACCTTTCTTTCACCTTTTCTGATGCATCTCAGATCAACTCATTTTGAGGCTGTCTCTTTAAATCCAATAGTTTGATAGAGGAGGTTTATGACTATATAGCAGTGCAGAAACGTTTTATTTACAAATGAATTAAAAGATGTCAACAAGAGAAGACGTTCATCCAGCCTTGCATGTTGGAGCCAGAGTCTGACCCAGAGGAGAATGAAGATGAGGAAATTGGAGTTGGTAAGTCCAGAACTTATTTGGCAGTTCTGTCGCAAATAATTTGACATTATAGTTCAGAAAACATCACAGAAAATAGAGAAGAATGAACGGGTTGAAAAATATGACCCAAGCAGAATATAAAGACGTCGATGCAGCACCAGGAGAAACTAAACTCAAATTTTCTGCACAACTGGAGACACATAACAAAATGTATTTAACAGCTAAAAATATGGATTTTGCATTTGTTCCCTTTAAGAAGCAATAAATCTGTCAGCGTTGGCCAGAAAACATGTTTTTCACTTTTTCTGCTAACAGTAATTTCAGAGCTTCATTTGACTGATGGAGAAATGATCCTGCAGCTACTAAACTGAATTTATCTTAACAGAATCCCATTTATTTACTTGTGTCACTGATGTGCTTTCTACAGTTGATTCAAGAACTTATTGCAAAAAGGAAGGAAGGTTTTTGARAATAAGGGGCTGTTTGTTAGCGTTTCATCTTGGTGTAAAACTCCTTGGTTTGGAGATGCAACAGTTTCAGAGTTCTGACCTCAGTTACTGTAGATGTGGTTTGACTGTTGGAGTTTGGATGTAGGACAGTCTGCAGTAGGGGTGTAAGAAAATATCGATACACTGAAATATCACAATATTTCATTTCCCGATACTGTATCCATATTCTAAAGCCCTGTATCAATTTTTTTTAAGGTTTAAAACATCAACTTTCCTGCCAGCYGTTCATTTTTATGTTGTAGTTCAGCCTCTGACCACTAGCTGGCAGCAGTGAGCCAGCCATTTGGCTCCGCTACCTCTTGAGCACCAGAGAGTAAGGGTAGCATTAGCATTGTAAGTAAACATTAGCTTCATGCTCCGATAGCTGAATCTGAGAGGAAAAGACCRACACCCTCTGCCTTCTAAGTTGCGGTAAGGTTACAAACAGTTACTTATTTGTCAGAATATGTGTATTTTAAGCCAAACTAAGTGTTTTGTGAGCTCTTTTTCCAAATGTAGTCACATTACGGAAGGCAGGCAGGCAGACATATAGCGCATGCGTCTATCCCCTCGAGTGAGCACGGCACTCCCCCCGTGACATAAAACTCTGTCTGTTGCTCTCAATGTCCGGCTGATCACATCAAAGTCCAAATACTTTAAGTTTATCCTGCTATGTTCGCTTCAAAAACGATTTAACTGTGTTGTTTAGCTTCTCCATTTATTTACTGTTTATTTTCGTGTTGGGTGAACATATTGTAAATAAAAATTAAAAACTAAAACTGCAAAAATATATATTTTCTAACTATTTATTGACAATTTTAGTCTAATAATTGAAAACATGGATGAAATAAGAAATATGAAACAAATAAAATAAAATACATACAAAGCAGAACACAGCTAAATGTATCAAAAGTATGTCTATGTAATATTAGAATTTTCTGAGACAATGAATTTTGGTTTTTCATTTTTTCCCTTGTAAGAGGTTTTTATTTAATAGAATTTTTGGACAAAAAAATAGCAATATATCGCCTTGCTTACAGTATCGCAATATATCGGGATATATCGTATCGTGACCCCTCTGTCATATGTATCATATCACCAAATTCTTGCCAATACACAGCCCTAGTCTGCAGTGCAGTAGTTTTAGTTTGTTCAGGAACTATTTCATCCTGAGAGATTTCTTGATCCGAGTGAGTTCACGGGGTAAAAAACCACAGTTTGCACAAACATGGTTTCCCTGTTACCCGTTTCGAAGCTTGAAACTGCTACTTCCTGTTTCTTTGTTTTCATTTTGTTTTAGGGTTTGTTGGTTCTAAAAAGCTGTAACAGTTTCACAGATCGACACAGATGCAGAGATTGGTTCTTGTGGTGTTAGTTTCAGCTTCTGTAGACATGCTCCAACTGTTGACGATTTCCAGATCAAAGACAGTCTGCTGTGACTTTCCTGAGGCAGCTTCTAACTGGGTGACAGATGTCTTTTGTGATGTCACCACCACTGCTTTGGCAAAGGTTGAACATTTTTTTCATCGCCATCTTTGCGGGGTAAATTATTAAATCCTCATTTCAGCTCAGATGGGTTAGAATCTTTAAGTTTTTAAATGTCTTTGAAAAGTTTTTCATGGTTACAAAAACGTTTGTCACTGAGAAGTAATCCAGTAAACACGTGTATTTACTGTACATGTGATATTATCTGAGGTTCTGATTGGTTTTAGCAAAAACCTAAACTGTACATTATGTTCACAAACTAAGTTCACATTTTGATCCTTGTACATTTATCTAGATTTAGCAAATCAACGTTGAAAGTTTCACAACCAAAAATATGAATATATTTGAGTTATTTCATGTATCAAACACATGCAGTATCTGATAAARGTGAGAACACCCCTCATTTTTGTTACCAGAGGTTTACACATTAAGAGCTGCGTGTTGACTTATTTTCAGGGGACAGCAAATTTAAAATGGTTATACAAGCTGTACACTGATTACATATCTGCAGTGCTTTCATGTGAAAAGATATATTAACAAAAATGTGAGGGAGGACTCACTTTGGTGTGGTACTGTACATCATTTTATAGATGTACGCTGTTCAAACTGTGTGCAGTCTGACACCGATGAGGAAATCTCACCTTTACTGTGTTGTTGTTGCAGAAACAACCTTGTTGGTTATTTTTTTTTTCTGTTTCCTGGTTTGTTTATGAAGATGATTTCTTGTCAGAACTATGAAGCACTTTAACTTCRGTTGTTCTTTTATTGGCTAAAGGATGTGTTGGAAATAAATCTGTTTCATACCTGTTACAAAAACTAAGCAATCACACCTAGATGTTTTCTTTGACTTTTTGTATTTGAAGGATAAGCATATCACAGACACTTTAACACTATATTTTAACACTATTTTTATGTTAATGTGGCACCCAGTATTTTTGAATATTTAACACTGGTTGGTGYTAAATTAATAAAAAATGTGTGTTAGAATTTAACACTTTCACAGATGTTATTTTAACACCAGCAAGTGAGGACACACAGACACTTTGTTGGTGTTGAAATTAACACTGTGGGTGTTAAATTAACACTGATTCTGGTTTTTCTTCCTGCTCTGCTCTGTTACCTGGTTGCCTCCCATGCCGTGGCAGTTGAAAATGCCGACCTTCTCGTTTTCYTTTCGGGCCATGTTGTCCAGGCACTGGTTGGTCTCCACGTTTCGGATCTGAGTCAAATGCAAACACGACAAAGTAAACAACGAGCACTGTAGCACACACTGGACTGCGGTGTCGTCTGTGTGTGTGTGTGTCATTGTGAGTTGAGCGCATACCTCTCCCAGGGAGTAATAATGCCGTGGGATCTGAGAGTCTGGATAGATGTTCTCTAAGTACCAGCTGAAGGGTTTACATTGCAGCTTTTGTCTCAGACCAGTGCGAGAGGAGATGTCACCATAGTCCACTTTTGTCACTCCTGGACAAACACACAATCACTGAATCCATGAATGCCTGTTGAAAGTTTATTTCATTCAGCACAATCCTTATTAATAGTCAGAAACCCTCATTTTTAATGTCAGCTTGGAGCGAGTCAGAACACAGACACTTGGACAGTAAATCCAGTGAGGTGTAATGCATGAGGTCATATTTTTTCTTCCTACATCACGTCATGTCATGACAACTTGTATTAGTCTGACAAACATGATGTGTTTGGTTAGATGTGGAAGAGCCGGAGGCGAACACCTAAATGTTTCACTTTCACAAGTTGGTACTTGCTACACACCCGCTTGAATAAAATATTGACTTTTTACTTTCTGAAGTCTAACTGTTTTACAGTAATGAGTGTAGACGTACACAAGCAGGAGAACAAAGCAGAAACACACTTTGGTCCTTGAATGTTACAACTGTGGAGAAAACCACAGAGGATAAAGTTTATTTGTTGATGAAATGACCTGATCAGTAGGATTTATCTGAAGGGAGATCATTTAATTTAAASATATTTAATGCCTTTCTTTAAATGTGGCTGTATGATGCATTTGTGACTTGTAACATGGTAAGAAAAATATGACTTAAAGTAGTGGTCATCCAACCTGGGGGGTCCGCCCCCACCACAGAGCACAGGGGAGGCCCATAACGGTGTCTCCTCAGAAGTAAGCTACACTGTAGCCACAGCTGCCCTGGGGCACACTGACAGAGGTGAGGCTGTGGGCCCTCTGACCACCACCAGCAAGGACACATTAGCTATGTTTACATGCACAAAATTTTTTGATCGGATTGAAATGTATTCGGATTAAATAATCTGACTGTACTGTTTACATGGACACAATCCGATCATGAAAAGTGTTTACATGCACCGGAGTTTTATTCAGAATAAAAGTCCGGACAGCCCGGACAGAAAAGCCCTTCATCGAGGAAATGTATTTTTGGTGCTGAAGTGGGGATGTAGRAAACGGTAGGGGGTTCTTAAAGAGACAGAGGCCAGTTTCAGGGACTTTAGAAAGGCTATGATGCAAAGTCAAATTTATGTTACAGCATTTTCACAACAACTGAAGCTAACATTGTGACTTGATTGTGGTGTAGAACTTAACCATGTGCCTGGAAAATACACAATACCCCCTTTAACTGCTTGATTGTCTTACATGTTACACAACTCAAATAAAATGGACTTTTTCTTCCTCTTTTTTTTTTTTTAACCAGAAACTGGTTTAAAAAGTCTTATCATATTAAAAACCTGTACAATTAGAACAGGTTTATARTTGATCAAACAGAACCTGCAGTTCTGATCTGTCTCTCCATTGCAGCTTTGTGTGTGTTTGTGTATGTGTGTGGTTGTGCAGGTTAATAGATCTTTTGTAGCGTGAAATTACTCCCCTCACCCCGCCCATCCTGCAATGTTCGACTACCTCTGCAATATTACACTGTCATCAGGTTAATGGATWGATTGCACCTGCTGCAGAGATTAACCTCAACACATGAGCACACACATGCACAAATTAATGAGCACACACACAGCCTGCCTCTGAGACCCTCACACACACWCAGCCCCACTCACCAGGTGAGATAATGTAGAAAAAGTTCTTGAACTCATCCATCCAGACTTCTGCCAGACGTCGGTTGTTTTTGTTGATGATCTGTCCCGTTCCTCCGGGGAACGTGTAGGGCGTCGCCTTTCTGAACACGTGACCCACGTGAGAACACGTGACGATCTCCAGAGTGCCTCCACACTGCCAGATCTGTGAAGAACAAAYMATTTTCAACAAAAGTCTATGGGATAAATCTTGTGCCAGCAGGAASTGAATTTGAATTGCTCAGATTGAATCTGAATGTGCATAATTTGAAATTGAATGCATTGGTTTGAAAATGAATTTTACTAAATTGAAACTGAATTTAAAGTTTTGAATTTGAATTAATTTGCTTTGAAACTGTATTTTTTCTATTAAAAATTCAGTTTGACTACTTTCACTTTCAGTTCCATAATTCAGATTTTTGTGTCACATCCTGGTCCTTGAGAAAGCCAGGCAGAGTAATCAAACACAGATCCACAGATTTATGTTTCACTTTGGTGAAGTTTYCCTTCTGTATGTAACAGAGTTGATGTAATCCACTGTAAAAGTGACAAAAACAAAGTTATTTTATTGCAGTGATTAATTTGACCTATATGTAGAAAATGTTACATTTACATCACATCATGGATCACATATTGATCAGATGCTGCTGCTGACTGATCCATGATGTGATGTAAATGTAACATTTTCTACATWTAGGTCAAATTAATCACTGCAATAAAATAACTTTGTTTTTGTCACTTTTACAGTGGATTGCATCAACTCTGTTACATCCAGAAGGGAAACTTCACCAACGTGAAACATAAATCTGTGGATCTGTGTTTGATTACTCTGCCTGGCTTTCTCAAGGACCAGGATGTGACACAAAAATCTGAATTATGGAACTGAAAGTGAAAGTAGTCAAACTGAATTTTTAATARAMMAAAATACAGTTTCAAAGCAAATTAATTCAGATACGAAACTTTTAAGTTCAGTTTCAATTTAATAAAATTCATTTTTAAACCAATACATTCAGTTTGAAATTATGCACATACAGATTCAATCTGAGCAAATCAGATTCAATTCCTGTTGGCACAAGATTTATTCCATACAAGGCACCTTGTAAAACAAAATTAAGTGTCGCCACTGAATGGGGGAAAAAACAAACAAATGCTGAACTCTGCTGGGAGGTGGCTGACGCAGACGGATCCTCTCAGAGGTGTGACAGCCCGAGTAAGTTTGATTGAGAGCCAGTTCGGGATGACGCTCGACAAAGTGTTTAGTCAGAGCAGTCGAAGGGGAACATTYGGGGATGTGAGTGCTCGCGAAACCCTAGCAGACACCCCCTGAAAACCTGCCAGAGCATGAAAGAATCCAACCATGCCAACTGGCTGCGTTCACTCACCCTGAAAGAGATTTCCAGGTTTTCTCCACCCCAGATGTCCATGCCTGCGTCATAGGTGCCAATCTCCTGAAAATAATCTCGGTCTATAGAGAACAGGCCGCCTGCCATAGTAGGAGTCCTGCGGAGACAGATAAATCCAGAGCGAGGCTGGTTAGTGTCAGCAGAAGCCTGTTTTCCAAAAGGTCACTCAGTATCTACAGATCCCATCAGTTTTATTTTTCACCCCGTTCTTTACGGTCCTCTTGTTTTTTCCGCTTCTGCTCACTTTTTTTCTACTGTTGTGACGGTTGTGTCACCGTTTAATGACCTCTATTCTGATCTGTTTTTCACCCTCCCCCCTCCCCTTTCCTCACACAGTCGTTTCCTCCTTTGCACAACATGCTGCCTATTTTTCTTTTTATTTAACTTCCATGTTCACTCAGGATTCCTAAAGTTTAAGGCCAGTTAAATTTAAGAATTTTTAATGCCAAGTGAAATGAAATTTAAGACCAATTTTATAATAAACAAATGACAAAAAAAAAAACTGTCAGAAACTCATGAATCAAAGTATTTTTGGTTGAAGTTTTCAAATTTTGCTAAAAGAACATTTGTTTTTATCCATATGCATTTTTGTCAAATATAGCAAAAACATTCTTGGCAGTCAGTTTTAAACCTAATTTAATTCCTGGAAATCATCTAACGAGCCAACATTTGGAGTTTTAGGACCCACAATGGGTTTTCAACACCAACTTGCTGCAAATGTTTGTAAGAAATATGAACACATTTTTGGAAAGACAACATTATAAACATATTACAAAACAAATTTCACGTTGCTCAGATGGGCAGTTGTTGAGATATTTGCATGTGAAGCAACAGGAAGTGATGTCAAAGGGGAATGTCTGCATGAAAATATTTCAAAAAACAAATATTACCAATTACTTTAATATTTGAGACGAATCATYCTATTTACAGTGTGTTAAAGTTTTTAAGATCACTGAAAGATTGATTTAAGACATTTTAAAGCTAATTAAGGCCTTAATTTTGGATTGATGAATTCAAGGCCTTTTATCCACAGGAACGCTGTCACTGGCAAAAAACATACAATAAATTCAAAGTCAACAAATGAAACTAAAATATATCCTGAGAGCACACAAGCATTGCAGCATTTCGAAAATATTTAACAACACAAAATAGAAAAAAAAAATTCAACTTGCTAAATAAGCAAATGATGCTATGGCAGTAACAGACTAATTAAAGAGGTTAAAGACGTGCTTTTTAACTAAACATATCAGTGATCTCTGGACTCCTCAGCTGACAATTTAAGTTGTTTTGATGAAATTCAAACATGCAGCAGTTAAACAAACATCTACTAAATTAGAGAGAAGCTTTGATTCTGATTAAAGCTATTTATCCAAACAGTCTGCCACTATCATAAAAGCAGTGTTTACAGGCGTGTGTTTATCACGACACTGAGGCACGCCAATGCTGGCGACATTAAAGACGACAAAAAAACTGCAGAACAGAGACATCATTTATAGAACAAAGTAAAAACGTAAATTGCTGTGATCCTTTTAGTTGCACTTGAGACCTGTCCAGGGTGTGCCCTGCCTCTCATCAGTGAATGAAGCAGATACCAGCTTCACCGCCACTCAGAACGGGTAAAAACACGAGTAAAAGACAACTGATGGATGGAATTTAGGTTGCTTTTTAATTTTAGTTTAAAAAGATCTACAGAAACTTGACCTGCTGTCAGTTCAGGGCAGTCCTCAAGTTATTCTTTTTAATGAAAATGAGTCCAGACGTTTTCACATTATTGTAATTTACAAAGTACTGTAGAAGTGCTCATAATGATTTCTTTAGGCTTGCAATTTTCTATTCATTGGGTAATAAAAGAGTATTTCCACACAGTTAATCCTACCAAAGCATACAGTAATGATAACTTAACATACCAATTCACCGTACCTTACATGTTATCTGAAAGAAATCAGAATAATGCCTCATTGTTTTGGGGATGTTGGAAATTCCTACAACATTTTCACATATTTTAATGAACTGTAGACGGTTTCTGAAGACTGAACTAAACATAGAGTCAGCAGAGTGCCCATGGTTTTATCATATATGTGTCAGTCAGTTTATTAAACAGAAATATAGTGGAAATGACTGAACACAAAAGCAACATCAATTTTGAATTATTAGATTTGAGCAAATGGATGTAGAAAGTATCACTGCATATTCTGTATTATTAGAACATAATTTAACATCTTTTAATTGSAAATAATAACTATCGTAATAGAGGTTTACTTTTAGAAACTTAAAATGTTTCCTCTTAGGCAGCTATAAATGGAAAATACCTGGTTTGATCCAAAGCAAAAGTTAGCAAGACCCCTGGTCTGACCACATTATTCATGTAGGACTAAATCTCGAACCTCATTCATTAGGCACAAAACACAAATTTATTTTTTAATAGGGATCCACGATTAGTTGTAACATTAGACGTTATTTAATAAACATTTATTTTAACTGTAAAATAAAGACTAAAAATACTGTAGGCTGTTTAGTTTTGTAAATTTTTAAAAATATATTTTAACACGGACAGAGCCATTTTATTTACACACAAAGCATTCTGGGTAAATGATGACGTGGATAGGTCCTCGGTGCGAGGCTGCTAGCGAGCTATATCCACCCTGAAGGTTAATCTTGGACAATATCTGATGATCGACTCTTTTAAATGAAACCAGAGAGCGTTGACAGAGAGGAGAAGGTAGAAATGACTCAGCCTGGAACTGAAAATATGGATGGAGGACAACAGAGCTGCTTCATGGAAGAACAACCTCAGATTAGCCTGTTAGCTTTAGCGTTAGCCCGATGCTATCACCATATATATGTATTAGCTCAGTGCTACACATTCTCCTCTCGTCATTGAGGTCCTCCATCCACATGACAGAGAGGGGAACACAAAAATGACTCAGCTGCAACTGAAAATATGGATGGAGGACCTCAGTTTAGCTTGTTTGTCGCACTAGCACAGAGCTAATACATATAAGGCAATATCGTGTCAGCGCTAGGGTGAAGGCTAACAGGCTAAGCTGAGGTTCTTCTTCCATGAAGCAGCTCTGTTGTCCTCCATCCATATTTTCAGTTCCAGGCTGAGTCATTTCTACCTTCTCCTCTCTGTCAACGCTCTCTGGTTTCACTTAAAAGAGTCGATCATCAGATATTGTCCAAGATTAACCTTCAGGGTGGATATAGCTCGCTAGCAGCCTCGCACCGAGGACCTATCCACGTCATCTTTACACAGTTTTGTTTTTTAGGACACTTAAAGACACCCGAAGAAAAATTCTGTCAAGCAGATCTGTGACAAACAACCAGAAACCATGGGTGCTGAGTGTTATATAACATATATCATCTGTGTGACCTTGAATGGTGGCGTTAGGCGAGCTTAGAAACAAGAGCAGGAGGAACGACTAATAGACAAGGCCTGAGACGTGAGAGGCAACACAACAAGCAAAAATAACAGAAACACACAAAACAACTCGGACATCAGAGGAAAATTCACCGTACTTTGTTTTAGGCATGGGCCGAATACCGGTTTCAAGGTATACCGTGATATGTAAAAGTCACGGTTTGAAAACCGCTAAAATCTTCTGTCATAACGTGCCTATGATTTAAGTGTTGTTTTATTTTTTTCCCCCCCCCGCGGGTCTGTTCTGCTGCAGACTTTCCACCGCGACCCCTCCCCCGCACAATCCTGCAGAGCAGCCTGTCGGCACTCGCTGAAAAGCAGAGTTCCCCAAACTTTTTCCCAGTCTAAAATAATAAAACCAGCTATATGAAAATACGTAGAATGCCGTAAAGATGACAGCAATGTGGACCGTGGAGGAAACACATCTAACATGATCGCAGGTCCAGGTAAACTTATGCTATCTTGAAATGAACGAGCTAATGTTAGCATCAGATTGTGAAACATATCACCACGTTGCTGTGGCTTACTGCACCGACCACAAATTGTCTGCAAAACTGTTTGAGTTGTTGGATTGTGTATTTGATAAGTTTTAAGTGAAAAGCTATAAAACTGAACGCCTCCTTTAGCCGAGCAGTTCGTTAGCTGAACGTGCGTTTCATAAACACGCATTCATAGTTGTGATTTCTTGTTTCTGTGTGCATAACCCTTTTGAAATTTAAAACACAATAAAAACCTCCAACGTGACACATTACTTCAATAAAAAGACTTGTCGTGGAGTATACAGTGATTTGTCTTAAATAATAAAGCAAAACAAAAGCAGTTATCTTACTTTATCAGGATAATCTAATTGCATTAGGTGCTAAAAATCAATAAAGTACAGATGCACACAGGTAAATAAAATTTCAGCACAACACTTCTGAGATCTAAAAACAGCTTCCAAAGATAGTTAAAGTTGAATATAATAATAAAAAAGTTATTTTCTTTTTTGTTTTTAAATACAAATTTCAAAACAAAATTTTTAGAGCTGTAATCATAATACCGTTACCACGAAACCGTGATATTTTTGCCCAAGGTTATCATACCGTCATAATTTCATACTGTCCCATGCCTATGTTTGTTTGTATCACTGCCCTGAGACTAATTTATGACTAACTAATGTCTAATTGTAATGCATTCACAACTATAAACACCCAGCAGCGACATTACAGCTTACAGGAAGTTGTTCTGATCCGCTGACTGACAAAGTTGCTGCCTGGTTATTTATCACTAACTTTCCTCGATTTGGTCCCTTCAGGGAAATTCTTTCCCAACATGACCCGACAGAGAGGTCAGTGCCCTGGAACGAGAAGCGACTGAGAATCTTGTTAAAACATGTGAGCTGAAGCTGATTCGTTCTCTCCGACTGTCCACATTTCATAAGGCTGACCTGACAGGCAACGTGCGGTCCCCTTTGCGGCGGTCCATCTCTCTCTGCGGTACAGGGTACCAGCGGAAGTTCAGCTTCCAGTTGAAGCCTCCGTACGTCATGTCGGATCCCGCCATGTACTCAAACGTGTCGTCGCTGATGACGTCGATGATGGGGCACACCACTGTTCTCCTAAAACGGTTAGACAAGCAAAACACGTCAGTGCGGGTCAGTGCGCAAACACGCTACGCACACGTGAAGTAATAACCAGGCTCATGTGTGCCTTTAGGAAGCAGAAAACAGAGACTGATGACTATAATTAAACAGCAGGTAAACATGAGAACAATGCTTCTGCAGACTCAACAATAGCTTACTGTTTTGTTTATCTTTTTCTCTGTTAGCCATTGGTGTGTGTGTGTGTTGTGTATGTTCCTTACTTATCGTGTTTGATGCGAGCCAGCAGAGGCTCCAGCCACCCTGTGGTGCATTCACAATGAGCATCCAGAAAGGTAATGACCTAAAAGACAGTAAACAGGAGACTAACGCAGCAGGTCAAAGACTAATAGATGTTACATGTGTTTGATATAGTGCAAAAGTTTTAAATCACTTCTTATTTGTATAGTCTTTGCTTCCAAGAAGCCAAGGTTTCATCTAATCTTTTAAAGTGGTCTTGAATGGGAATTTTTCAGGCCTATTGAAGGTCATTAATCATTTATTTTCCTTTAGACTTTGGCTGCTTTTTACACGTATTTTCTGGTCAGTCCTTGAACCTGACCACAACCATAAATGGTGCAGTGTGTGCTTAAAAGTAGGAAAGTGGACAATAAATGGCCATTCTAAAAAAAAAAAGATGAACAGTAACTGAAAATCTTTTCTTGAAGAAAGAAAAACAAAAAAACAATTTCAGCTTCTGTTTTACCCGAGAGATGCATCATCCTTCCATCTACTGAATGTCAGGTTTTCAGCTTATATGACTGGGAATCACCTTGTTGGTGCTAAAATACTGTTTAGATTCTGACAAGTGTATGACTTTTTATTAGATTCAACTAAATAATAGATGAAAACTCATTGTGCCTTTGTGACAAGCTGCTGGTAACAAAGATCTAACGATCTATTTAAAACCAGCTCTTTGCCAAGTTGTCTTTTGTAGACACAAAACCAGTCCATCCCTTGAGTTTAGGAGGCCTTTGTTTAAATGATTAATGGGTCAGAGTTAAGTAGCTCAAACAAAAAACATTCATCTGAAAATAGTCAGAGGCGTTAGACTGAAAACTGGGGAAAAAGGGAGTCAAAGTCCAAAAAGCAACTTTGAAAGACTATCGGAAAGCCTGAACTACTGATCAAGATTACTTTAAAAGATAAGAAATTCTTACATCTAGAACACGTGTCGAACTTGAGGTCATCCTAAAATAAACGTACGCTGCTTTAAAGTCAGTACTGACCATAAACTACATATCCCATAATGCATGTTGATTTTACCCAAAAAATGATGGCATCATTTCCTATATGGAGGTGCAAACAGTTCAAAAGTAACTGGCAACATCTGTTCTGTAAAATCTCCTTTTTGCTGCATTTTCGCTGGCTACTTTTGCTGCGGCCCAGTTATACTGGGAAGTAGGAATTCCCTACTTACAAGTTGCAAATATAGACTGGAATGTCCCTTCAGTTGGAATTCCCTGTTGGAACGTGAGAAAGTTCAGAATTCATGGCAGCAGCTTCTTACCAGTGAGTAAAACTCTTACTTTTAATAATATTTCTGTATTATTTATTTCACGTTAAATCAGTTGTACACTTAGTACTTTTCAGTGTTTAGAAGAGGTAGGGATGGGTACCGAATTCAATACTTTTATAAGTACTGACCGAATTCTGTCGGTACTACCGAGTACTTGTTCACGTAAAATCAAACGGTACCATGTTTCGGTTCCTAAACGCATCGTTGTGACCGTATTTGCGTAAGAGTGGTGAGTTTTCCATGCTTGTCCTGAAYGCAGCATTGYGACCGTATTGGMGTAAGAGTGGTGAGTTTTCCATGCTTGTCCTGAACGCAGCATCGTGTAAGAGTGTAATGACATCAGCAGTCGCTGGTTCAGTAAACAGAGCTCAGTCTGAACGTAGCTTGAAAGCCTCGCAGCTCCTGGAGTAAAACTCGCCGAACAGACCGCCTCTGAATTATCTGGTGAATTAATTATCTTGTGAGCACAACGTTTGCTTGCTCAAAGTAAATAAAGTACCACCACTTTCTTTATTTCATCCACCATTAAACAGAGACCGGCAGAGGAAAACAACAGAGGAGCTTCCTGACCGTCCGAACGTGTCTGACCTGAATGAGTACAAGCAGCCAGCTTGAAGTGTTGGTGTGTTTTAGATGCTTAAAACGTAGCTTGAATACCTTTTATTTATTTTAATTCCATCCTATTTTGCTTATTTGATTTAAACTTATTTGCCTTCCATGGACCTCCATCACACAAATTTCTAGCAGGGAAATGACATCAATAGAAAGACGTGGAGCTGGATTTTAATTTGTGCAATAAGACAAAACAGTCTTGTTTTCAAGAGTTTGCACCTTAAAGAAATTAGTTAAACAGCTGATGTTACAATACAAAGAGTTGGATGTTGTCTTGATATTTGTTAAATTTTATAYATTGAGAAATTAATATGTTAAATTTTTAAAAAAAATAAAGCCCCTTTTCTATGGTGTGGTGTCGGAACGGTCGGTGTAGGTACGGGTCGGACCGGTTGGTTTTCCACTGATGTTCCAGTCCGGTTCCAATGGGTGTGTTTTGGGCAGTTGGTGGAGGTGGTTTTTTGAAAAAAGGTTAATGGGCAAAATGAGAGATGGAAACACACTTGATGAATAACTTTTGAAATTTTAAAAATTTGCAAACATTTTGAATTAAAATAGGATGGAATCAAGACTAATGTTGCTGCTACAACTGAAAAAAATGGCTCCTTGAGTTGTAAAGGCAGCTTAGACGCAACCAGTGACTCCTCCCCCTAGCCAATCAGTGACGAACTCTGACGTCACATTTTGGTGTCAGCTGGGACCGCTTGGAACCACAATGAAGTAGGTACTAAAAAAAGGGCTGGTTCCATGAATCTGGCCTAATGGAAATGGCTTTGAACCGTACTGACACTACACTAAGTGGCACTAGTGGAAAAGGGACATAAGTTTATTATGAAAAAAAACAACAACAACACACACAAAGTACCAAAAATTGGTACCATTGAGTACTGGTACCGACTCCCAGGTACCGGATATTGGTACCGAATCGATTCAAATGTCAAAGGTACCCATCCTTAAGAAGAGGTCATTTTAAAACACTGTTTCTATGCAGGAAATACCACATAGAGCTGTGTTATTGTTCGTTAGTGGTGCTCAGAGGTAGCAGTGAGTTAAAGTTAATGTTGAAGTTATTTACAGCAGGCCTTTTGAGGACCACCATAATGCTTGTGTGGCCCCCAGTGAAAATGAGTTTGACACGCCTGCCTTAGAAACTAAACGTAAAGAACTGAAAGATTTGCACAGTGCTGTAAATGCACACACACACACACACACACACACACACACACACACACACACACACACCTGGCCGGTAGAGATGGAGGCTCCCTTGAGGCGAGCGCGGATGAGTCCGGACCGCTGCTCCATCCTCACCACTCTGACAGGCACTTCTAACTTCCTGACGTACTGCTCCAACGGCCGTTTGAGAAAATCTAACACAAGTAAACACAAACGCACAAAATAAAGAAAAAAAAAAAACACAAAAATGAAAGACATGCAGAAAAAGAATGATCACCTTCTCCCTCAGTGGCAACAGACATCAAAGGTAATTTTAGATGATGTTTTTTTCTAAGTGTGTCTCGACATGCCTGTTGACATCCCTTTTAACCTGAACAGTTCATCTCCCTACATAAACACACACA